AACAACAACAAACCCACACCCATACACAAACACACACACACACAACAGCAACCTTTACAACAACAACAACAACAACAACAACAACAACTACTACTACTACTACTACTGCTACACCATAAAAGCAACAACAACACAACAACAACTACAACCGCACAACAGCAACAGCAACAACACATAACCACAACACGAATCAGTTTAATAATGTTTGCTCACAAAAAAAAGGAGGATGGGGACAAGAAGCAGGAGGAGGAGGAGGAGGAGGAGGACGGAGGAGGAGGGTGGCCCCAACGGGATCCGAACGTGATCCCCTTCCCACCTCCTCCTACCTCGTCGACGTCCCCAGGTCCTCCCGACCCCCTTCCATGCTATTCCCGCTTGTGTACCTCCTAACAACAATCCTCCCTCAACCTCCTGTAACGATTTTTGGTGCAGTCCGACCGCCAACTCTGGATTCTTGGCGAGGCTGTCCGCGTGGACAGCTTTGTCCCGCGTGAGGTGCTCGTACTGCCCTATGTCGAGGGCAGTGCCGACGCCCACGGTCTCCACGTGGTGGAGGAGGGCCGCCTCGAGGCCGTCCTCGAGTGGCGGCGCTGGCCGCCGAGGGGCCATCTGGCCCCTGCGGGCCCCCGAAGAGGAACGGCCCCGCGCGGCAGCCATGGTGGCTGCTTCTAGCCAAAATGGTTGTCGGGAGAACGTGCCGTTTCGAAGGGTGAGAAGGGTTTGGAGGAGGGGGCGGGTGAGGTTTCTGTGGAGGGGGAAAAAGCGACGCGGACGAGGAGGAGAAAGAGGTTTTGGAGGAGGAGGCGGACGGCGATACTGCCGCTACAGGTTCCAGGAAATCTGGAGGACCTCATCGTTACGCTATCCCACGCGCTGTGATTCATCGATCATATCCACGCAATTTAGTTATGATGTTAAATTCATACATATATGTGTACATATAAATGCATATATATATGTATGTATGCGTATGTATACGTAGATGCTTACACGCGTACATAATATGTATATATATGTGTTTCTCTGTTTAGACATGTGCAGTTATAAGTTTCCACATATGGATGTAGCTATGCATGCGTATATCTGCATATCTATACTAATGTATGCATATCTGTATATGTATATTTACATATATACACGTATATAAATGCGTGTATGTGTGTATAGGTTGATAGTTTATGTTTATACATACGTATACACATATACATACACGGATGTTCAACAGTATACTTACATATATCTTTATACATATACATACAGATGTGTAAATCTATGTTAAGCACGTATACAACGTACAAATACACCTCTATGTATGTGTATATATATACACACATACATACACATATATATATATACACATACATACATATATAACTATATATATATATAGATATATATGTGAATATATGTATAAGTATTTCTATATGTATACATTCACATACATATATATATATATATATATATAAGAAGACAGCGGACATCCGAGCCTGACAAAAATGAAACGTCAAGCCATTCTGCCCTGACGGTCGCGATCGGTCGCTACCGGTCGCGACCGGTCGCGACCGGTAGCGACCGACGGTCGCGACCGGTCGCGACCGGTAGCGGCGACCGAAATTTTCAGCGTTTCAGAGAACGACCGGTAGCGCCTTTCGCTACCGAAATTTTTCGGTAACGAATGATCTGGGAAGGGGAATCGAGGGAAGGGTATAGGTATGGATACCTTTCCCTTCTCTGACGTCCTTCTTTCGCTCCTGAAGAGCTCCGCGTCGAAGCAGCCAGGTTAGCTTACCAACCATGTAGCGCATTTCTCTGCGTTCTACGATACTTGTATGCTAGTTGCAAGTACCTTATGCCTTCTACAAGGCTAGTAGATGGTTGTAAACGCACGCTCGACTTGAGATCATTTTTTTATTCCGGCCGGTAACGCTCGTTACCCGGGGGGGGGGGGGTCGTGCCCCCCGGGTAACGGTAACGCTTGGGCTGGGCGGGGTATGGCGAAGCAGGGGCGCTCTGCGATCGCCATAGTATGCGCGCGAGCAGCACTCTCTGCCTGAGAGCACCACAGTGGCTTGCGATTCGAGTACAAGCGCAAAGCCCGCCGCGTGGTCCCGGCACCACGCCCGCGCCCGCGCGCGCGACGACGATGATCGACGAGCGACGAGCGACGAGGTCGACGACGACGACGACGACGTTTGCCGCCTGTTTCGGCCTCCGGAGGCCGTTTTCGGGCGCCGTCGACGACGACGACGACGACGACGACGACGACGACGACGACGACGACGACGACGACGATTCGAGTACAAGCGCAAAGCCCGCAAGCACCAGCATCGCGCATGCGAGCGCCGCAATGGCCTGCGAGCGCCCACAGTGCGCCTGCGACCACCACACCACAGTGCGCATGCCTTCGGGCACCAGCATGTTGGAGGGGAAGACCGAGACCCCCCCCGCGTACGAGCGTTACCGTTACGGGGGGGGGGGGGGGGAGAGGCCCGGGTAACGAGCGTTACCCCCCAGAGGATAAAAAAACAATCTCCTTGCTAAGCGGGCTGGCGCTCCAAGTAACGTCCTTCTTGCCAGACGCCCGACATCATGAGTATTTCATAACGTCGACCCTCAGTGGCCTCGACCCATTCACCTGGACTGGATTTGATCCTGAGGGCCTCCAGAGGCCGAACATGTGGGAAAATCCCCTGCCATGCTTTTTCCCTTGCCCGAGGGGATCTGGGTCTCGCGAAGATGCCGGCGTCTCGCTCCCCAGTGCCCTCCGACTGCTGCGGCGGAGCAGCCGCCGCTCGACGCCCGCCGCCAAGGGCCAAGCCCACTCTCGAGGGGCAGCGCGAAGGGGGGGGGGACTGGCACACCGGGGGGGAGGCACCGCCCTGGGCTCGGCGATACCCCGCCGACGGCTCGGCGACGGGCCTCCGAGGGTGAGCCCCACCCTCCCGGGCAGGTGGCCGGGGCCCTCGGCCTCCGTCGGCGATCACTGGGCGATGGGGGGTCGGTGCAGCCCCCCCCCGATGCCTACCCCCCCTCTGTCGTGTTACCCCCGGCCAGCTGGAGCTCCTGGCGCCCCGATCTCTTGCGGGCCGGGCAGCCTTGTCGGGCTGCAGGCCCCCCGGTGCCCTCACGGAGAGACCTGGCTCGAGAAGCCCAGGCCCCCAGGCGTCACGCTGTGCCCATCCTACCTGAGGACCACATCTTGGCGGTGCGCAAAAGGGGGTGGAGGGAGGGGGGAAGGCTTCTTAGAAGGAGGCTGCTTCTTAGAAAGCGCCGGCCTTACATCTATAGATAAGGCCCGCGCCGTCTAAGAAGCAGGGGTGCTTCTAAGAAGCCCTCCCCCCTCCCCCCACCCCCCCTTCTGCGCGTGGCTGAATATCCCAGAAATAATGTCGAGCACCCGGAAAAGTGTCAAAAGAGTGTCGAAGCAGCGTCGGGCGAGTGTCTCCCAGGGCCCGACATGTGAGAACCCTCGAGTCTCGGTACTCTTTTTGGCGCTAAAAAGCCTTTCTGATGATCCAGGCTAAAGTATTCGAGGGCTGGGAATGGGCACCAACACCAACACAGGGGGTTGCCTCCACAGGGGGAATATGATCCCAGATTTCGGTGTTGGTGATAATATTTCGGTCACCTTGGAAGCCAGAATATTACCACCATCACCGAGATCGGGATCTTCTTCCCCTGGTGGATGCAACACCGCCGATATTGTTGTTGGTGTCAATCTCTAGGCCTGCGAAAGTAGGTTGGAGCACCATCGCCCTGGGGCAATGCACAGAATCCCGACGGGAGGTTTTCTCAGTATTCTCGGCCCCTGAAGGCCCTCACCGCCCCCCGGGGCCGTCCACAGGAACGACTCGGGATGGCATACCGGTCCAGGGGAAGGGGTCGATGAAGGGGCCATGCAGGATACACAAATAAACACACACACACACACAAATGTCAGGACTCTCCATATTCTTCCTATATTTTCTGGGTTTTTGTATTCCCCCCCACTTCCAAATTTCCTATATTTTCCGGGGAATCGACGATGAATTGTGTCTGTATGTTTTTCCCTCATGAGTCGAGACCTACGAGGGTCGACAGTTATGAACAAACTATGACGTCGGGGGTCTGGGAATTGCGCAGAAAGATGGATCTGAGGCTCCGGCCGTGTTTGTGAGCGCTTTCCTACGCGGCGTTTCGACGTTGAGCGAAAGAGGGGGGGGAGTGGGGGGGTCTGGCTCCAGACCTCTGCTCAATGCGACTGTTTGCAACAGTGCGTCCATTCTGGGGGAGTCTCCACCTGCCTGGAACGGCCTCCAGAAGCAGCCAAGATCTACTCCATGGGAGGGGCAGAGGGGGGGGGCGCGAGGGTCCGCACCGACCGGCAAAACAAGGAATAAGAAAACGATCGCGTGACTGTCTACGAGGTTCCAATGCTTGGGTGCCGTCGGATCTCGGAGTCTCTGGAGGTCCGCGCGCACCTCTTGGGCCGGCGCCTGCAGCCCACGCCAGGATCGGGCGCGGGCGGGACCGGGCCTGCTGGGATCTGGCTGCTCGGTGACGCGCAGCGGGGGATGCTGAGACGAAGCCAGGACGAGGATCAATCCGGGTGAGGGTAAATCAAGGATCCCTGAGATCCGGCGACTATGGAGGAAGCCTCGGGCGCCGCAGCCTTCGAAGAGCGTTCCGGGACGCGCGTTCCGGAACGCTCTGGAACGGATAGATCCTCTTCCCGGCCCCGCCCGAGATTCCCCCCCCTGCCCCACTCCGCTAATTGAACAGAACTGCTGTCATCCGAAGACGAAGCATCAGCTTCGGCAGACCTGGTTGAGTGATTCTGGCCAATCTTGGGGGCTTCGGGGCCCAGCTGCTAACTGGCTCCCCTTATCTTGGGCCCTAGCTATACCCGACAGGGACGGCGCCAGAGGCGCCGCCGCGGGGGGGTCCAGCGCCGAACGAAGTCTGCGCGGACCAGACTCCAAACATTTGTGTCTGTGTGCTTTTGTTGTTTCCGCGAGAGCCGGTAGGCGATCATCATGGCGGCCACCGCGACGAGCTCGACGCCTCCGCAGAGGTCCTTGCCGAAGTTGTTGACCGGCGTGTGCATGCCGCGGACGAGCCGGCACCTCTCCTTGAACAGCGGCGCGTCCCTCGTCGACCACAGGCTCATGGTGTTGCCGTCCGACAGGAAGTTCTCGAGCATCCCGGAGGCCGCGAACTTCGCCTCGTCGAGGAGCTGATTCACCCACCGGAGCAGGACCCTCTCGAACGGCTGGGAGACGACCGCCTTCAGCGTCTCGCCCCTGTGCACGTCCAGCGCGATCAGCTCGCGGGTGCGGAGCGCGGCCAGAGATGCCACCCGGTGGACGCTGGCCACCTGGACCAGCGACTGGAAGAAGCGAGGCAGCACCTGGGCAAGTGCGCGCCGATGCCTGTCCGGCTGCGCCCTCTCAACCCTGTCGGCAAGAGAGGCTCGCAGGGCGCACTGGTCCCGAAGGCACCGCTCCTGGAAGGCTGCGGCGACCTCGGACCTCTGGAGGTGCTCGGAGAGGTCCTCGTGGACGCGCTCGTACCGCCTTTTGTGCCCGAACTGGCCCGCGGCTTGCTCGTGCTGCTCCCTGCACATCCTGTCCAGCCGGTCCAGCTTCTCTTGCCCTGACCCGATCCGCAGCGCAAGGAACGCTTTTCGGAGCGGACTCTGGCCGTCTGGCAGTACCCGAACACTGAGAGCCTGCCGGTGCATCGTCGTCCTCAGAAGGAGATGGCAAGCAACAGAACAAAGCTTTCGGAGGTTCGCGTGGATCTCCCTTGGACCGGCGCTGAACCTCCTCTGGCGGCGCCTCTGGCGTCGCCCACGGCGCGCTTCGCGCGCCAGGTCTGGGGGTCAATCCAGCGCAGACTCGCGAAAGAAATCTGCGCGGACGTCCGAAAGCTGCTGTTTACCTAGCCTGTCCCTGAACGACTGCCCATAACAAGGGCCAGGGACCCTCTATAGTTTGTCTACGGCGCCCGTCAGCTACTCCGCATCAGGAAGCAGCGGCCCGTGGCCGTGTGTCTCCCGCCTGGTCTCCCAGATGGTCTCCCGTCGTAGCACTGGTCTCCTGGATTGCCAGCTGCTTGCCCTCCCATCTGGTCTCGCGAATGGTCTCCCACGTGATCTCCCGTATGATCTCCAGTATGGTCTTACGTAACCCTATGCCGGTGAGGATCGCACCCTGGGGATATGTCCCAGGGATATGGACATCCGGGGTCCCGGGAGGGTCATAAATGCTTTCCCTGGAGATAGCGACGTTGGGATGTCTGGATGGGTCTTGAATGACCTCCAAGCTGATCTGGAGAAGCCTTCCCCTGGAGCTTGCTTGAAGGAGTGCCACTCTTGGGAGGCCTGCCAAACAGTGTTTCAATGCAAAAAGGACCAAGCGTTTTGATTGAATCATCCTCCAAAAACTGCTGGCCGCGAACTCAACGAATCTTCCAAGACTGCGCTCCGCTTGATACATCCTCACGGAATTCACAATAAGGATTACTCCTGCTACTATGCATGATATGAAAATCAAAACGACGACGAGAATTTGGGGGGTGCTCGAAGTTCGCCCGCAGTTCGCCCCCCTCGCTTTTTGCTAGGTTCGCCTTAAAAGCGCCCTGGGCCTGTTTTAAAACGTTTTCTACCCTGGGCTCTTGACCGGCTGACAACGGCACAACAATTACCTGGTCTTAGCGGTTCTAGTGTCGTTGTTTTGGCGTTGTTTCGGCGCTGTCAAGCTGAATCCGCTAACAAGAAGTCTGGCAACGCTAAAACAAAGCATAATGTGTTAGCGTTGTTTTGTTTTGTTGGTTAAGACCTGATCACGCTAAAACATGTTTTCCAATGCGCCGAGCTGAAAACGCTAACAAAAACGCCCTGGGCACATTTAGCGCGAACCAAAGCCTTTGCTGCAATTTGAAACAAATACGACACGTGGATAATCAGATAGGGACGGTGAAGGGGGGGGGTCACATTTACTATCCGCGCCATGCGGTTATGGTCTCCAGTACGGCCGCCTGTATGGTCTACCGCAAGCAGTCCCGCATGGTTTCCTGTATGATGCCATCTATGGTCTCCTGTCTGCTCTCCTCAATGCGGCCTCCCGTAAGGCCTCCCCGTGATAATCCCACCAGCCTTTTGGGCGAAGGTGGCCTAACGATCTCTTTCTTTCCTCTTCCCAAACCCTCTCACCTTCGGGGAGGGGTACATTCCCCATCCCCTCACTGAGATTTTTTTCGGGGCGGGCCGCGATGTCTCAGAGAGTCCGGTTTCGCCCAAGATGGCTCCATGAGGGCATCCGATGCTCCAAGATGCCCTCCAAGGCGGCCCAAGATAGCCGAAGATGGTTCAACATAGCTTCCGACATGCCTCCAAGATATCCGACGAGGGCCACAATATGTTTCCCAAGTGCACTCGGAACCCCCGCAAGACCCTCCCAGGAGGCTCAAATCCATCAAACCATATGTACGGATCATAGATGATTGGTCTATTCTCGTCTTTTCGCTTGCGATACACTTTGGAGGCCTTAAGGTTGCCCCAAGATTGCCCCAGAGAGCCCCAAGAGGCCTCCCAAACAGCCCCAATAGCGCCCAAGATCAGCCCAGAAGCGCCCCGAGAGGCGACTGTGATGGCTCCAGGAGGGTAGGGAAATCGGGGACCCCCCCTCATCTGATCGATAGCCTCCAAGATGGCTTCAAAAGGCCCTCCAGGGCTCCCCCGAGGGCCCCAAGACGTTCAAAACTGTCCTAAGCGCGCGCAAAAGCGCCCCACGAGCGTCCCACGAGGGCCCTAAGAGGCGGTTTGCCTCCTCCTCCTCCTCCTCCTCCTCCTCCTGATTTTCCTCCTCCTCCCTTCGCCCCCCCCCCCCCCCGCGGGCCCCAGGGAGGGGAGGGCCCCAAGAGGCTCTCCAAGACTACCCCCCTGCTCCCAAACATCTCTCTGTTCATCCTGGTTGCTCGCTTTGTTTGTTTCACTATGTGTGTCCCTTCGTCCCTCTTCCTGTCAGCCCTCATGGGCAAGGTTCCTGCACGGGCTGATGGGGATACTTTCTTTTTACAGCCGCAGGCGGAGGCGCCGACGGCGAGCGGTCACGGTCGGGCTGCGGCCGCGACTAAATTCCCGGGCGCGCGCGGGGGCCGCGGATCAGGCGGCGGGGGGGGGCAGCTGATGGGGATACGCGAAGCGTGAAGAATTGGTCTCCTGGCTGACCTCCCGTCTGCCTTTTCTGTATGGTCTGCTGCGCGGTCTCCCGCAGGACTTCCAGTCTGGTATCCCGAGTCGCCTCCTCTGCATGGGCCCCCCGCAAGGCCGACCGAAGCTGCGCGCTGGTTTCCCGGATGGCCTCCCAACTGCCCTCACGCATGGTCTCGTGCCTGCTCTCCGGCAAATTCTCCCGCATGGTATCCCACCTGGTCTATCATGCCGGGGCGTGCGAACAAAACGACCAAGACTACGAGAGCAGAGCCATCAACCGTGGACATACTGGGGGGGGGACCTCTCCAGATTTCGCCTGGCCTGCGCAGTGTCCATGAGAGCAAGAACGCAGCTGAGCACAGGAGGGCGTGCAGGCAACTACGGAGCTCGGACATGCAGAATCAAGGTGCGGACGACGCTGCAAAGCCCTGGGCAAGCCTAGCATTGACAGCGCGAACACCAAATCTGCAAGGGGGCCGGGGAGCCCTGACCCCCCTGCCCCCCCAACTGCGCAAAATTTGCTCGCGGGCGGGACGGCGCAGTCCGCGCCTGCATCCGGCTTTGCACATCGGGGGGGGGGGGGCGGGGGGACGGGCGGGCCGCGCCGCGCGCTGGCTTCGCATTCGTCATCCGTGTCCCGAGATGTGGTCAGAGCGAAAGAGCAGCCCGCGCGGACTTGCTGGGCGCGTCTTTCGGCGTAACCGCTCGCGCAAATCGTCGATGTTGTTTCGCGCGCGCCAGCATGAGCCGTGCAGGTGTGTTCTGTGGCCTTTAGCGGTGCTGCCCGGAATCTCCTACCGCAAGCGCGTGATTTCTGGCCCGGATCCTGGCCGCGGCCAGCAACCTCCAAATGGCGAACGCCTTCCCGCCCACGAGCGAGAGCCTCTGCTCGTGCATGATGTTCATCACGGTGGCCGCCGCGCTGCCGTGCCGCTTGCTGCTGTCGACGATGCTCTGGCACGACTGCGCGTCACCCCTAAGAGGAGCCAACACGTCATCGACATAACCGCTGGAAATCTGCGCGGATGTCTTGGATGTGCGCTGGGTCCCCTCCCTGGAGGCGCGGCGCCGCAAACGCCGCCAGGGGCCCAACAACGCAGATCCAAGGAAACCGTGCGGAGCTCCGAGAACGCATGTCCATTCCCCACAAACAATTGCTCGTTCGTTTTTGTTTTTTCTCCGGAACGGGGCATGTCTGGCGGTCTGGCGGCTATGTTGCCGCCGTCGCCACCCCGTCGCCTCGTCGACGCCCGTCGTCTGGGCTTATTTGGCGGTTATGTTGCCCTCATGGGTTTCACAACATATACTGCATCAGAAGTATTGCTCCAGGCAATTAATCTGCACTACCCACATTGCACAACATGGGTTGCACAACATAATTTGCCGCACGTAAAATGCACCAAACCGGGGACACAACGCGGTTGCACTACATATATTGCACTGCGCCACATTGGTTGTACAGCATCGTTTGCACCACGTAGGTTCTCATTTAAACAAGACAATTCGGATTTACCCCCACCCAGGGCTAACGGTACACACGTTCGTGTTGCAGTCGACCTATAACTTTGCCACACTGGTCATCGTGGATATGAACTCGTACCACCCCAGGCAATCCTGAGTTCGCCCCCCTCATTATGTGTTAAAAAACATGCGCGCAATCGTTGTTTACAAATCTGGATTTTCAAAAACCCTTGCAACGATGTGCACGAGTTGCGCACGCGCGCGTCGCCACGCGCGCAGTCCGAAATCCATCCGCAACGGTAGGTTTCGCACGCATTTCAAAATCGAGAATCACGAGCACACGCACACACACATATATATATATATATATATACAAAACTTCCAACACGGCTTCGCGGAGAAACCTTTTTTTTTCAACAAAAAAGGCACTACGCCTTTGCAAATTCTTAAACGAAGCAATACGTTGTTCGAAGATGTTGATAATGCGCTACCAGACGGGCCTCTCACGCGCGCATGTCAACATCGTTCGAACGCCCATGCGCGCGTGCTGCCGCAGGAACCGTTTGCACAGAAAGGAACGACGTGCACCGCGCATACCGAACTCCTTCAACAACATTGGGTTTTGTAACGGTTCCCGCAACGACCGTCTCGAAAACATGACAAGACACATGGCTCTCGCATTCTTGCGGGCCCGTGGCAAAAACCATAGTTAGTTCAGCCTGTACATCAATTTCTGAGAAGCGGGCCCCTCGCGCCAGATGTCGAACTCATTCGAACGGCCTTGCGCGCGTGGTAAGGGGGTGGGCACGATCCGTGTCAAATATTACCACCCGGGCCACTCGCGCGCGTCGGCCGCGCGCGCATGTCGAACTCCTTTCTACACATTCATCACCGACGCGAGGACACCGTCATCGTGATGTATAGGCGGGCGTGATCAACATCGGCGCCGTCATCGGCCTTGCCGTCGTCATCGCCACCATCGCCACCATCATCGCTGCTCGAATCATCGTGTGTACGGGCGTCGGCGTCGCCATGATACCGCGCCCGCCCAACTCAGCGACTCGGACTGAAATGCCCGCTGGGAGGCGCCCGGCGGTGAACACCACCGCGGCCACGCTGGTCGCGCCAACTAACTAGCTGGCCGATGTGCGCGCGAGCATGCGCCGGCTAGCGCGGCCGCAGAAGTGCCCCAGCCAACGCTGAGCATTCATCGCAAACGCCACCGCATCGGTTTTGCAAACCAAGTGGCGGGTGGGTGGGTGGGCTGTTTGCAACGGGCATGGGATGTGCCAACTCATTTGTCAAAATAAATTTCACCAAATAGATTGCAACACGTGTGCTGCACTACAAAGGCTGCTCCGTATATGTTGTACCACGTCGATTGCACCACTCGGGTTGCATCACGTAGATCCTTTTTTCTTGTGCAGAATAGGATCCACCGCCCTCCCGGGGCCGGACTCATCACTACCCACAGGGGATGTGCAATTCACATATGATTTTGCCCCATCGCCCACCATAGATATGAATTCATACCATCCCAGTCAGGCCGGAGTTCGCCCCCCTCACAAATGCTATGCGCGCGCACTCGTTTATCACAAACCATCCGTTTTTGAAAACCCATTGGAAAAGACATGGGCCGAAATGCGCACGCGCACGCCGTCGGGCAGCCATGCCGAAATTTCTCAAACTAAACAAAGGTCTCGTCAGGAATTCGAAGTCGAGTGTCCCGAAAACATGTCAACACACTGTGGCGTAACCACGATTATATATATATATATATATATATATAAGCGCATGCGCCCACGCTCTTGCGAATTCTGGAGAACCGTACGGTTGCAACGTTTTCATTACATGCTACCATACGGGCCTCGCGCGCTCGTATCTGTCGAAATTGCTCGAACACCCTTGCGCGCGTGCTCTCGCAAAAACTCGTGGCGCACATGAAAAGAACGTTGAATTCACGCGCGCGCGTCGTCTCGCGCGCATACCGAACTCCTTCAACAACCTCGGTTCTCACAGGGATTCCAAAGCGAATGTCCCGATAACGCATCAAAGCGCATGGTTTCGCAGCATCAGTTTTCATAGAATGCCTGCGCGCTTTGGTGCATTTATTAAAACAACGTAAGCACCATAGGTTTTCCGACATTGCCATCAAGTTCTGACAAACGGGCCGCTTGCGCCGCATGTCGAACTCGTCCGCACGCCCTTGCGCGAGTACTGGGGGGCACGACCCGTGTCAAATAACACCACGCGAGCCACTCGCGCGCGTCGGCCGCGCGCGCATGTCGAACTCCTTGCTAAACGTACATCACCGAAACGAGGACATCGTCATCGGTATTGGCGGGCGTGATCAGCATCACGTCGCCGATTCCCACTGAAGTGCCCGCTGGGAGGCGCCCAGCGATCAGCGCCACCGTGGCCGCGTCTGTCGCACCGCACCAGCTGGTCGCTGCGCGCGCGGGCATGCGCGGGCTAGCGCGGCCGCAAACATGCACCAGCCAACGCCAAGCATTCATCGCAATCGCCGTCGCATGGGTTTTGCAAACCAAGTTGCGGGCGGGTGGGTGGGAAATTTGCGCGAGCAGTGGAGTTGATAACTTCAAGTTCGTCAGGGACGGTGAATTGCACCAAGTATCTTGCTTCACATCGATTCCGCCACATGGGTTGCTCCACATAGGCTGCGCCACACAGACTGCCAGAAACAAATTGTTTAGGGTCTACGTTGGCTGACAAGCTGTTGGTTGTCCCTCGGGCACCGCAGCGATGCCAAGTGCCAGCGCAGCTGGCGCCACACGGTGAAGTGCGCGGGCGCGGGCGTCGCGGGCGCCACCTGCGCTGGCGCCGCCTTCGCCGCCGCGAGCGGGGCCTCGACGCCATCGGCGCATATGCCCGAGCGGCGCAGGGAAGTCTGCTCGAGGCTCCGCGGTTGTCTTGACAGCACCGTGACCACGTCCAGGTGTTGTAGCCAGGCGCCTTGCGCGGCTGCCCCGCTGAGGTCTGGCTCCTGAAAGACCTCGAGGGCGCTGTCCTCGAGCGGTTGGGGCTCTCGGGCGGGGGCTGGCACCGCACTGGCGCGCGAGCTGCACGTGGAGCGCTGGCGGACCTCGAGCGCCGCGCCCTCGAGCGGTTGGGGCTCTGGGGCGGGGGTCGTCGCGGCATTGGCACTTGAGCTGTGCGTGGAGCGCGGTGTACTGGCCCCTCCGCCTCCGCAGTACTCCCGCTGGGGACCCAGGGCGAAGACGCAGGGCCTGGCGTGCTGCAACACCGCCTCCAGCATGGCCTGGTGCCGGGGCAGCATGCTCGCCCACCTGCTCAGCAGCTCGAGCACCCGCGTCGCCACGTGCGTGTGGGGTCGTCCACGGCAGCTCTCGCACCTCTGCCTCAGCTCCTCCAGGTCCGCCTCGAAGAGTGCGCGGAGCCTCTCCACGGCGGCCTCCGCTGTGGAGCTCAGCGAGGTGGCGGCCGAGGAACGCCTCGGCGCGGCCGTGCCGAGGGCGGGCAAGAGCACAGACTCCTCGCACTCACCTTCAGCCGCGAGCGCAGACGCCGCAGCCGCACCACCCGCCACCACTGGCGGCGCCAGCAGCCGCGGGTACGCTTGCGGCGCCAGCGGCGCCGTGGGCTTCACGGGCGCGAGCAGCGCGGACCGCGTGGCGGCGATGGCCCGCAGCCCCTTCCGGCCGCTCGGCGGCGCGAGCGGCGGCTCCACAGGGCGCGTGTCCACCAGCGGCAGCGGCACGCGGCCCGTGCCCAGCAGCGGCAGCGGCACGCGGCCCGTGCCCAGCGGGGGCGGCGGCGGCTCGTGGCGGCCTGCGCGCCGCAGCAGCCGCCGCTCGTCGCCGTCGGGGGCCATCTGGCGCCGCGCGGCCGTCCCGCCCTACACGGGCGGCGGGCGGGCGGCGGCGGCCACGGCGGGCGGCGGGCCGCCGTTTGGCGGCCTGCGGGGCCCGCGGCCGCACCGCGGTGAGGGACCACCCGCTCGGGCCTGGGCAGCGGAAAAATGAAGACCACAGCCAGCTGCCCCGATGCGCAGCACGTTACACGTAGCGTGCATCACGTGGACTGAAGACGTCGGTCTGACGCGGTACGTTCGCCCAAACGTGGGCCAATACGTTGAGCCAACACGCAATGCATCGACACGGACATGAGAACGGCACGTGTTACGTATCAAAGCGTGCCTATCGAGGCAGCCAAGAGGACCACAGAGGCTCGCGGCCCAGCCCACCCAGAAGGGCTCGCCGAGTCCTGGGACAGGGGCACGGCGTGACCCGAAACGACGACGCCGATGAGCGACGACGCAGAACGACACGACGACGTCGCGAGGACAACACCAGCCGCAGCGATGGCAACGGCAGTGACGAGCCGACGGCGACGACGGCGGCAAATATGGGCCGGCGCCGGCCCAGTCAACGGGCAAGCCGCACGCTGCCGAAGAAGACTGGGGGCTCTCTCGGACCGTCTCGGGGGCCTTCCTGTACTGCCGCCTTGGGGGCCCCTTGGGGGGACCGCCCGGTTTCCCTCCTGGGTCTCTGTGGGACTCCGCCCTGTGGCGTCTTGACTTGAGACCCCCTGCCCCACGACGGCGACTACACGATTGCGACGACGTTAGAAAGCAACTCATGAGAGCTTCTGGTCGTCCTCATGGCGCCCAATAGCGCGCTGAATCGCACGCAAAGCGGACAGAAGGCATCCCCCTCGCATGCCGCCTTGGGGCGCCATCGATCGCTCTTGAGCGCTACTTGAGCGCTCTTCGGCGCTACTGGGCCCTGATGAGCGCTATGTGGCGCTCTTGAGCACTACTGGGCGCTGCTCGCCGACGTTGCATTCGGTCCAAGACGGCCCGATGTTTCTGTGATCTCCTGCCCAACGACAGCGGCGTGGCTCACGGCGACGGCGGCGGCCACGTCCGCGGCGGCCACTGCAGCAGCGGCGAGACACGGCCACGGAGAGGGCCGCAGGGTGCCTCAGCATCGCCTCCACGAGCTCGGGGTGCATCGCGCCCACGCGCAGCACGTAGGCCGGGTCGGGCCCCTCGTGCAGCACCTGGCCGCTGGGGGAGGGGGGGGGCGGGGGATCGCGAAAGGGTTAGGTCGGGCGTGTCCTCCTACAGGCGGACTTTGAACGACAAATAAGACATAATCAAAAATACTCAGAGGAGCAATAATCATCACAAATCGTTCAGAGGCTGCTTTGTTTGATTCCTCTTGCACATTCCTCCTGTAGAGAGGGCCGTGCCCGACTGAAACGAACGGGCGAGCATGCTCTCCGTGCCCTTCCCCCTGCGGTGAGAGGCGCGCTCCTGCGAGCAGAGAGACGCGATTCCATGGGCGGTGCGCTCCGCGCGCGGGGGGATCGTCCATGCAGCGCCGCCCTCGCTGTGCATCCACCGGGGAGTGCCGCGGCCGAGGCGTGTCCGGGCCACGAGGCCCTCCTCCTCCTCCTCCTCTTCCTCCTCCTCCTCCGCCTCCGCCCCCCCCCCTCCTCTTCCTCCGCCTCCTCCGACTCCTCCTCCTCCTCCGCCTCCTCCTCCTCCTCCTCGTCCTCGTCCCCCTCCCCCTCCACAATTACTCAATATGAATACTACTCTCCCTCTTCCCCTGATGGCGTCCTGGGAGTAGTAGACCCCCCCCACGTACTGTGTTTTTTACACACAGGATTCCCGGGAGTTGGGTTTTCGCCTGCGTTTTTTTCAAAATGCTGCTCTCGCTGAGGCGCCAGCCTCATTTCTGCTCCCGAATCGTTCCGAATCGTGCTCCCGCTGCAGCGTGGGCCTCATTTTCGGATCGGTGTTTGCCTCCGTCGTTCAGGATGGCGTTCTCGCCCCAGCGCGGGCCTCTTTCTCGCGCGCCCATCCGCCCGCCACCACCGCGCCGCACCACGCCCCGCCCCGCCGCACGCACACCCACCGCCACTTCCACCCACCAACGCACGCACGCACGCACGCGCACCACCACCGCGCACCGCCACCACCACCGCACTACCCCACCCACCACCACCACGCTACACCGCGTCACACCACATCACACGCGCGCACACACGCACGCACGCACGCACGCACGCACGCACGCACGCACGCACGCACGCACGCACCCACCCACCCACCCACGCACGCACGCACGCACGCACGCACGCACGCACGCACGCACGCACGCACGCACGCACGCACGCACGCACGCACGCACGCACGCACGCACGCACGCACGCACGCACGCACGCACGCACGCACGCACGCACGCACGCACGCACGCACGCACGCACGCACGCACACACACACACACACGCACACACACACACACACGCACACACACACACACACACACACACACACACACACACACACACACACACACACGCACACACACAGACACACACACACACACACCACCGTAGCCATTTTGGCTCAAGCAATTTTGGCTCAAGCCATTCTGGCTCAAGTTGGTTTGTTCCAAAAGGGAACGAATGGATACCGCTAGTCCGCGGCCAGTGCCAGGGCGCTTGCGCCCGACAGTTTTGTTCCGTGTGTGGGCGAAGGGTAGGCTGTGCGCTGCCAGTTCGTCATGTCCAATGGTGCGGCTCAGGCGTCTCAGGCGACGGGTCGTCACGAGAGGGCCAGGTCGGAGCCGCGCTTCAAGGGCTGCGGCTGGGCCAAGGGCAAGGGAGTCGGCAAGGCAGGCAAGACCAACGCCAGCGGCTCAGACCCCGTGGACTACGTCCGCTGCGCGCGCTGCTCGTACAAGTGGAACTTCAAATCCAGGGTCGAGTGCTACAGCTGCAAGAAGGCGCTCAGGCCGGCCGTTGTGGACGAGTTTGCACGCCCACGGGCAGCTGCTTGGTCCTTTGTGCGGAAGCCGTGGGTGGCGCAGGACGGCGCCTGGTGCGGGGACTTGCCGCCCGCCCCCAGCCCGCCCTCCGACGCCGAGTGCCTCGCGGCGCTGGCGGCGCGGCACCCTGAGCATGGCCAGCAGCTGGAGGCCATCAAGCTGGCCGTCGCACCGCCCGTTGCGGCAGCGGTGCTGCCAGATGTGGCCCTCGACCGCGCGCAGGCCACGCAGCGGAGGGCGCAGGCTACCTTCACGGCCAAGGCCCAGCAGGTCCGCGACGCCGAGCAGTGGCTCCAGGCTTGCCGCGAGGAGGAGCTGCGCGCGGGGGAGGCACTCCTGGCCTGCGACCTGGAAGTGGAGGACGCGTACAAGGCCGCCGCGCCCAAGGGCATCCAGGCGCAGACGCTGGCGGAGCAGCTGCAGCCAGGAGGTGCGTCCAAGCCAGTCGTCGGCCTCGACGTCACGGCACTCCTGGAGGAGGATTTCCAGGTCGAAGCAGGTGACGCCTTCAAGCTCGATGATCCCGACCTGGACATCACCGACGCCGAGCGCGAGGAGTTCAACAGGTCGTTGCAGGGTTTCGTCGACCAGGTCAAGCAGCACGTCCGCACCACCTTCGGGGAGGCAAAGGCGCAGCTGGAACAGAGGCGCAGCGAGATCAACGCCAAGCATCGGCTGCTCCTCGCCAGGCGCAGGCGGCCCCGCACCGAAGCTGCAGCCCCAGAGCCAGCCCCCACAGCCCCAGCAGCTGGCCAGGTGGCGCCCGCAGGCGAAGGGGATCCGCCTGCAGCCGCGGCCGCCGCCGCCGCCCCCAGCCAGGGCGCGGCCCAGGGGCAGCCTCCTGGGGACAGCGCTGCTGCTGCTGGTGCTGGCCTCGTTGAGCCCCCCAACCTCCGCGGCCCCGACGGCCCAGCCAAGCTGGAGCAGCTCAGGCGTGAGTTGGCCCAAGCCACACCCGTCCCAGCAGACGCCATCGCTTGAGCCGTCCCCGCGGTGGCCAGGAGGGGGGCCAGCGGCCAGGCCCAGGGAGCCAAGGAGGGCCCGCTCGGGCAGGCGCGAGAAGGGCATCCTGGTCGCGCGCATGCGGCGCATGGCGAGGCAGTGGTGCCCTGCACCGCGACTGGGAGCCTCGCCTCAGGACCGCCGCCACTGGGGCTCGCACTGCGTCCCCTACGTCTTCCACCAGCTGGGCTCCATGGAGTACACCGCCATGCTAGACGACCTGGCGGCAGCCTCAGGCAGCGGCTCGCGCATCGCAGAGAGGATGAGGCTAGCCCGGGAGGTGTGTGACGATGTATGGAATCACCCGATGGGCATCGACGCCTGGCGACTTCTACGGCAGAGGATGGAGGACCTGCAGGCAGACGAGGAGGACGCCTATGAGAAGGAGGTGGCCAAGCAGGTCCGCACTCAGCCGGCGGCTGAGAGGTGGTTCGACCGCCAAGCGCAGCAGGCCACGCCGACGCAGGCCAACCTCACCATGGTCTTCGACGACGCCTTACAATGTTGGAGGCTCCTTACCGTCCAGGCCCCCCAGGCTGCCAAGGGCCCGCGGTGGCCTGATGGTGGGCCCCCAGTCCAGGCAGCAGCTCCACCCGAAGACGTCCAGCGTACTTCAGGCGATGGTTTCTCCGATGGCCCTGGCGAGGCCCCGCAGTTTGACCACGGTCGTGCTTCAATGGACCTCGATCCCAGTCAAGACCCTGCTGGACGTGCCCGCGGTGTTCCCCAGGTGGAGGCCCAACTTTGTCCAGCTGGTGGTCCCTCTAGCACTGGGGCCCAACGTATTTCATCATCCTTCTCGGGCAGGAGGTCGCTTGGAGGTGCTCATACCCCAGAGGTTTTCTCAGGCAGTGCTGCGCATCGCACTTCAGATGATGAAGAGAGCACCGGGAACCTGACGGCCCGAAGCGACGAAGCTCATTCGGACAGCGAGGGCAGGCCATACCAGCCACCAGCGGCAGGGGCGCGGAGAGGTTCACGACGGAAGCGCAGCAGCAGGCGCTTCACCTTCCACAGCGCCAATGCCAGCCTCAGTTGGGGTAACGTCGTGGCGTGCCTCCACGGCGCGGCACACCAGCAGCTCTCCGAGGGCAAGATACCGATCATCGCCTTCCAGGAGCACGGCAAGCGACACCTGTGGGCCGAGGAGAGCGCGCGGGCTCTGCTCCCGCTGGGATGGAGGGCCCTGCCAGTCCCAGCCACCGAGGGACCGACAAGGGCGCGCCTCGGCAGGAGTCTTGCTCACGGTGCCTGCATGTGTCGGCGTCACCCTCGCGCCCGAGCAGCGGCACTGGGACATCTCCCCCCCAGGATGTGCGGGCAGGCTTTTAATGGCCACGATCGAAGCTAAACACATTGGCAAGTTCCAGGTTTTCTGCGCGTACTGCTTTACTGGTCAGAAGTTGTCATCAGTGGGCAACGCCGCAATCTTATCTGTCATCACGGCATGGGTGGTCAAGCTCCAGCTACCGTGGATCGTCGTCGCGGACTGGGAGAACCTCCCTGAGGACCTGGAGCGCTCGCCGTGGAACAAACAGCTTCGAGGGCGTGTGGTGGCATGGCAGGGTGAAGGCGGCACGAACCGTTCACCGCACGGTGAGCGCGTCATCGACTACTTCTGGATGCATGCCAGTTTCGCGGCCAACATCTCGTCAGCACACATTGATGCGGATGCAGTTCACCACCCTCGCAGAGCCACATGGGTCGAGTTTCAGAAGCCCTGGTCAGCCTTCACCTTCACGAAGCTCGTTCGGCCCAACAAGTTCCCGATCCCTGATTCCAAGCCTCGCCATTTCGACTTGTCGTGCACCGCCGTGCCAGAAGGCTTCGACCCCGAGGCGCAGCCCACCCAAGCTCTGCTGGACGCTACGTGGGCGGCCTTCTGCCGCGCGGCGGAGGAGGAGCTCATCCAGCGCTTGGGGTTTGACCCCGCCAGCAGGGAGGCGGCGCAGTGTCGTGGCCGAGGTGAGCCGCCTCGTTTCATGCGGTGCCCGTTGCTCCCCACACATACCGAGGCGGTTGCATCATACGGAGACGCCAAGCGCTGGAGGTGGTTGGCGAACGAGCTGGCGTGGCTGGGCATCATCGAGGTGATGCTCCTCCTGGCCGCCCCCGCTTCCGACCGCGCCCGCACCACGCTGCATCAGCAGCAGAGCGCCTCCATCCGCAAGT